CAGCATGCAGTCGTGAGTCTGGCCAGGCTGTCCTGCGTGAGTCTAGCCCAGGCTGTCCTGCGTGAGTCTAGCCCAGGCTGTCCTGGGCCACATGGCCATTGCTCAGGCTGTCGCTCCAACCAAGGAAGCCCCAGGCGTCGGCTGTGGCCAAAGCCAGCAGGCCCGGCTGCCCCGGGATGCGCTCTGGGCTTGCCAGGGCCAAGGGGCTGGCAGATGCTGCCTGTTTCTTCTGAACTTGGCGAAGCTCTCGTTAACTCCTGGGGGCCCAGGCCCCTCTGCTCGCCCACCTGCCTGGGGCCCGGTCTGATTTGAGAGACAGCTGCCACAGCCCAAGAGTGCAAACAGGCCTCCTTCCTTCCCACAGGGCCCCTCCTATCACTGCCCCTGGGACATCGGGGTCCTGGGAGGCCCCAGTGCTGCCCTGAGGTAGCCAGGTGGCCACAACAGGCTGCCTGGTCCTCGGCTGGCAGGGCCTCAGTGTTCCCGCCTCGCCCATGCCAAGCCTCCCCTGCGCCCGTGCCCCTAAGAACGTCCTCGGCCCCTCCCAGGGATGGGCTGGTGGGAAGTTCCTTGTTTGTCGCCTCCTCACCCAGAGAGAGCTGCCTCTGGTCTCAGCTGAAGGAAGGCCCTGTCCAGACAGAAAGGGGAAATGGGGTGACCACCCGCCCTGGCTCCTGATAGGCCAGGACCAGCTTTCAGGAGAGGTTCTGCCTGGGCTCACGGTGGCCAGGCATCTGCCAGCTCCTGAGGCCCACCCCTGGCCTTTCCCAGGGAGGCAGATTCAGGACTGTGTGGCCTCTGTGGTGCTCGTACCCAGGAGGGGGTGTCAGAGTCCCTATCCTGGTGGCTCTCTCTACCCTAGCCTTCCCTTTTTTTTCTGGAGAGGTTTTCGCTATAGGGCACGTGCACTCGTCAGACAGACAGACAGAGAGACAGAAAGCGAGAAAACAACCCCCGGGGGGATGGCCACGCCACAATCCCTTCTCCATTCTCCTCTCCGGATCTTGGGCACGCACACACACGCGCCCGGTGTGAGTTTAAGCCACCCGGTCTGGGACTCGAACAGTGGTCGACTACGTGGGAGTTCAGCGACATAGCCATTACGCCAACTGCTGGTCCCCAGTCTTCCCTTTCTGACATCTGACCAGCTCCTGGGGCTGCAAGGTCACAGCTGACCCCATCCCGGCTGCACAAGGGCATTGGCCCGGGGCTCACGTTTCTAGGTGGTGATGTGATGGCCGCCAGAAGCCAGACAAGCCCGGGACACCCGTGTGGCCTGCCAGCTGGGTGCATCCCACGGTCCTCCCAGCCCAGCCATGCCAGCTGGTCCCAGCACCTGGGTCAGTGCCGACTGTGCCGACGTGTGCTGCAGAGCTGGGTTGGTCCCGCTGTCACCGTGCTGCCCTGGGGTCGGCGTGCTGGGCCCTCGCTGTGGGATGTGGGTACATCAGGAGGACCACAGTGGAGCCCTGGCTCTGAGCCCAGCCAAACCCCTGCTGGGACCAGAGGCCTTGGCCCCCACACACAGGCGTGTCATGAGCATAGCGGTGTGGGCAGTGCCCACCCCAGGTGCCGTCTGGCTCTGAGTCGTCTGCCTCTGCTTCTCCCCTTTGGCCTTCAGGTGTGGACCTTCCTTCAGAGCCTGTCTCCTGCCTGTGCCACCAGAACGAACTGGGATGGGCACTCGGCTCCCACCTGCCTCGGCCGGCACTCTGTGCCAGCGCCTGACAGCCCCTGGTGGTGTCAGTCCCACCTCGCACCGTGTGACCGTTCTCTGTGCTTGTCTGCAAAATAAGGCACCAAGCCGGGGAGAACTCAGCCGCAGTGAGACAGGCCGGGAACGTGCACCCGGAGGCCTGGCCTGCCCTCCCCTTCCCTGGGCCGAAGCCCGCAGCCCCTGCCGCCTCCCTCTCTACGCCTGAGGCATCTGAGGGGTTTCCTCATGCAGAGGCAGAACCAGCGGGGGGAGGGGGAGAGGGGGGGCAGGAGCCTCACAATTTTCCAGATGCCTGCACACGCTCAGTTTCCCCAGGGTCATGGGTGGTGCCTGAGGACCAGCTGAGCAGGCTGTGTGGCCGCGTCTGCATCTGCGGGGACCAGCCTCTCTTGCGCCTTCCTCTTTAAAGCG